ATAAAAGGCAGAAGTACTTGGAATAGAAAAGTATATTAATAAGGGATGAAATAAGAGGAAGAATCAAAAAGGAAGGTAGAAAATGAGAATTAGAAAATTTGTAAAATTATTATAATGCCAATTGCCAACAGTAATCAATCGCTAGCAGTGCTATCAATAATCTCCTCTTTCGAGGATCACTTAAAAGCAAGCTAGTGGCAGGTTTGACTTCCCTGACATGCAAAACTACCAATTTTAGATCGCATAGAAATGTACGGAAAAAATTAAAGAGTGGAAAAACTGGAGAAAAAAAAGGGCTTTAAATATTAAATTAGTTAGAACGGAAATCGGATGGACAGATGTTAAATTTAGTTTTACTTTTCCATCTATTATATTTCAGAATTAGCCTTTAACATCTTACCTTTTGTAGCCCTCTTTTACACTTATCCTGATTTCCTTTTCATCTTTATCTTATTCAGGTAATCAAAATGTTCCTTTTAATATGGCGAATGGAGCACTGTCCTGATGATTCCAACCGCATCTTGCACCGATTCTGCCGTCTGTGTTTACAGCTTAGGGATGAAACACAAGGCCTCCGTCCTCTTCCAGTCTCCTAACCAGGAATATTCACTGTTTGTATCTTTAAAATTTCCACAACACACTGCGGAACTAAAAAATATTGCGTTGGCCGATGTCCTGGTGCGATACTGACTTTTATTTTCAAAATTTTCACCGGTTTCCATGCTTTACAAAAATGAAGGGTTCTTCGATCACGTTGAAAATGAAGCATCTCATGGACTAGAGCAGCAGAAGTGGCGATTTTTGCTGTTGCGGAGTTTTCTTTGAAACGAGATTTTGCTTCAAAAACAAAATATTCCTCCACCTCCTTATAAAAAAACCCCGTGTTTTTTTTCCAGGGTCCAGCACAGTGTGCGGTATGAGTCCCGGAGAAACGTGAACGATGTCGAGCGACATTGAGCGGCTGCAGGCGGAGCACTGCAAGTTGCAGCAGAGCTATTGCGATCTCAAGAAAAGTTACGATCTTCTGTCTTCCGTGGCTGCCCTGGCCGATCGCTCATCGGATTCACGGCTGGAATTTATGCGAAAAGTGGTGGCAAAAATTGCCGAAGTTTATGACAAAAATTTGTACAGGTCCATATTCATCTACCCATTTTGTCTTTCCACTTGTTTTTTACGCATTTATGCAAATGCGAAAGCATGTTTTAGCAAGACTCTGTGTGTGCATTTTGTTTGTTTGTGTGTACTTGTGTATGTATGTATATGTATGTATGTATTTATGTATAACTTATTATTGTATGTATGTATGTATGTATGTATGTATGTATGTATGTATGTATGTATGTATGTATGTACGATGTATGTATGTATGTATGTATGTATGTATGTATGTATGTATGTATGTATGTATGTATGTATATGTGTAATGTATGTATGTGTGTGTGTAATGTATGTAATGTATGTACGCGTATGAAAATATATGTATGTTCCGAATTTTCCATTACACAGGCCCAAAAAATATGAAACGAATAAGAGTTTGGTTTATAAAAAAGTTCAGAAATGAATTTCTTTATTTCCTCAGATCTCGATGTGGGATTAGTCCTAGTTCAGCCGAATTAAGCTGCTTTCACTTGTGCGACACAGACAAAAGACAGGGCGCCAAAGTTTTCTAAAAACGTTGAATATGGTACCAGAGGTGTTCCGATGTCATATGAGGTATGGCCGAAGTTTGTTTCAGTGATATAACGATTCATTGTGATGGGCATCAGCTGCGTGGACATCGTTTGGTGATTTCTATGAGAACTGATTTTTGGGATGATCTTTCAAGCGCAGAAAGCATTGTCTTTGAAGGTTCATTTTTTTTTTTGTTCTTTTTTTGAGGGTCTATTTTTTTGTAATTTCGGCACTATGGCTTCGCCAAAGCCTTTTGAATTTTAAGAATTTTCAGATATTTGCTTATCGTTTTACAGAAATCCCGTACAACGTGGGCTGCGATGTGCTAAAATGGATGTACACGGATGAACTGAACGGCCAGGCAGATATCCATTATTTAATGGAAATATACACAGCAGCGATGAAGCTGCATCTCGTTGATTTACAGAAAAAGTGAGGTTTTTTTGAGTTCAAAAATTAAGGTCGAAAATTTCCTCCCTGTTTGCTATCTTTGAGAGTCGGAGATATCCCGAAAATTAGTGTAGGTGGTAGCAAATGCCAACAGTAAAAGGCAAGGCTGTCGATAGCTCCCTCTTCCAAGAGATGTTTGCACGCAAATTGATGGCGAGTTTGACTCCCTGGCATATGCCAGTACCAATTTATCATCGAAACTAATTTTTAAATTCGTACGACAGCAGTGCTGCTTTCCTTTGTCGTATATAAAGTTC